TATCTTTTGTTGTAAATGTAAAATAATAACGACAAAATTGCACTTTCAACTTTTTGACTTTTTCACATGCCATTGTCTGCAGCAGAAAGTTGAATTAATCGACCCGACCCCACACCCGCTGAACTTGCAACCCAGAGCGGCCCTCTTTCCACCCAAGAACTGCAGTCAGACGCATACTTGCCACATAGTTGGGCTGCCTCGACGACTGTTCCATCTTGATTGATTACATATTTCACAAGTTATTGCGCAGGGCGGCAAACGGAACCGGAAGTGTGGGAATGGAACGGGAAGTAGAGGGGAGTGAAAGGGGTGAGAAACACACGTATTTATTAGATTTATGGCCTGGCTTTCATGTCTGTTCTGTTCTGTTCTGTTCTGTTCTGTTCAGCTCAGTTCTGTTCAGTTTGGCTGGGTTATAATGGATTCTGCCAAGTGTATTCACACAACTTTTAATGTATTGGAATTTCTCTCTGTCTCCCCGTTTCTCCGCCCCGCCACTTCTACACTTCTCCATCTCTGTCTGAAATGCGCCAACATCGCATCCGTCGCACACCCGAAGGTACTAAAAAAGTAAAACTCATGTCGAAAGCGGTAAGCTGTGGCAATTGACTGAAACTGCCGGTTTAAATTAGAAAAGTTTGCACAATGTAAGTGTACAACTCTACAACTCCCCCTCGCTCACACATACTCGTACACTCGCATAGCAGGCACACACACAAACAGATACAAATACCCACACATGAGCGGCACATTCGAGCGTGTTAATTTAATGCCAGGATGCCAGGACACAGCACTTGCCATTGATGGGCTCTCCAATGAAAGAGATGTCTGCGCCTGGTCAGGTCCAGGAGAGGATGGGTCCAAAAGTAATACTCGTTCGGAAATCTATGGGCCGAACAACTGTTTACGTCTAATTTACCTACGATGATGTTGCGGGACGGGATAATTCAGCAGCTGTCGAAATAAAAGTTCAAAAATGTCACAAATTACTTTCAAAACTGTCAGAGTCCATGATTGAGTAGACCATTTTCAATTACTTGTGTCATTACTTCCAATAACCCTGTTGTTTTTCTCTGCAGGATTATTAAATTACAGCATTTTCAGAAAGTACTCTCTGCAAATAGTTTTCCTAGCTCTCCTGTATTTACTTTTTAATATTTATTCAGCAGTTCCCAGTTCGCAACATCAGCATTGGCAAATCAATAAATAAATACATAAGCAACAGCCGGTTGTCCATAATAGATTTACTCCAAGTAATAAACAATGGTTTTCTGATAACTATTCAAAATACGGCTTATATTAACCAGATAAAAGCGTGTTTCCTGTATGAAATTCCTTTATGTGAAAAGAAAAGAATTTTTCGTGGCTGCTTTGCGCTATTCACTGGGCCATAACTATGCGGTTCAAGTTGATAAAATAACTTAATCTAAGCAATGCCAAGCCCGAAATCCGATCTGTGCATATAATCCACTTATACGACCTGTTCGTGTACGCACCTCAACTCAACATTAAGGGATTTACCCAACTCAACGATTCCGGGATATTTTTTGCACACACGCACGCACTCCACGGGGATAAGGAAGGAGATTCATATGGGGTCCGGTCCCAGCGCTTTCTTTTGTTCCGAACAAACAGCCATAAATCCTAGCCAAGTTCAAACTATATCTGCTGCCCCGGACCGTTCTGGGAAATTCATTTTTTTATGGCGCACTTATATGGAACAGGACAGCGTAGCCCAAAAATCCATTTCACTTATTCCCATGCACTTTTATGGCCCTAGTCCGCCAGCAATTTTGCACATTAAAAGCGAACTTTTTACATGACATATGTATGCCACTCTCCCGTCCCCGCCCCCGCCCTCGCCCCCGCCCCGCCACCATTTTTCTATTCTTCGCAACCGCCCCAAAAATATAACTAACACAAATATACATTTCATATTCATGGTGGGGAGTGCTTAAAAAGCGAAGAAATTAACTCGCCTAAAGTTCTGGGGGAGGAGCTTGCGACATGTGTAAAAAACCAGAAAGAGGAGCAAGTTGCGGCTGTTGGGGTGAAAGTAGGGGATGCTGCGAAAGTAGAGGCCTACTTAGCACCCCCCTGCACAGAATGTCCCCTGTTCTCCGGCTGCCACACTATTTTCTGCTTAGTCGGCTCATCTGCATTTTATGGTCCAAAAATATCACAATTTTTTCGCATTTCATTATGGCGCGCTATGCGTGTGTGTGCCACTGCACTGAGGGAAAATAGTATGTATTTTATAACCAATTCTAAAGAAATGATTTTTAAGCTTGTTCTCATCAGAAGTATAACATCATTCACATATCTTTTTGACCATTTTTCAGCATTACTATCTTTAGCCATATAAAAACCCAACATAACCATCTTTAAAACACATTACTAGCTGAGATATTTTATGTAGTAATAAAGTGAGCAAGATTTCTTCGAGTGCCCCGCCGTGCGTGTGTTTGTGTCCCAGCGAGAACTTAGCAGCGTCATTTAGTATGCTTCATTTCATTATGTTTCTTCCCGTTCCCCACCGTTAGCCCCATCGAGACCAACCCCAAACTGCCTACGTCTACGCTCCGTTTTTAAAACTCTTAACTTTCGCTGCAACCGCAAGCATTTTGGGCCGCATTTTGTGGGCAATCCTTCCTTCTCAGCCTGGTGCTCGTTTTTTGGTCCCGGCAAACCGTGCGAGAAATTGTCCTCCCTATCATTCTGCCTCTCGCATTTTCCCTTTCCCTTTCTTTTGGGTGGGTCCTTACCAATTTCTCTTTTTTTTTTCTTTTTTTGCTTTTGATGTCGCCTGCACATTTTTTTTCCAAGAGATATCTTGGTTTTTTCGCCATCGTACTGCGTAGGAAAACTCCTTTGGGTGTCCCTGCCATTTGCCTCGCACTAAGCCTGCTGCCATCTCTTTCTATACCCCATTTGCCGTCCCGCTCTGTCAGTCATTTTTTCCTCGTAATTTTCATAAGCAGCCGTTAGACGTTGGATTTATGTTTTTAAACGCCTTTTAATATGCGAGAGGATATTCGCGCGTAGCACCAGATCCCCAGCGAACACAAAGCCACTCGCAAAATGCCGCATAGCCAACGTCCTAGCCACGCCTCCCCTAGCCTCCTTTCTCGTTTCTCCTTAAAGCCTTAAGCCACCAACTCGCCTCCCTAACATCCTTTTGGCTCCTTGCTTGTGGCTGTCTACTTCTTGGTAACGCCGCGCAAATCCAGTGAGAATGCGTTTAAAAAAATATTATAATAATAACATTACGTAAATAATTGTTGGCTGCTGTCGGTGGGGCGGGGGGAGGTGCGCGAGTGGGGCTGGTAATTTCGGGGGGCGGGGTGGTGTTTGGGAGGCACGCGCCTCTGGAATGGCAACGGAAATCAGCTGCGTGTTGATAAGCACGCATATAGCTCCAAGGAAAGTTGCTGGCGACCGAAGGATCTTGGCAAATGGAGGGGTGGGCGGCAGGAAACAGGAGGCTCTGCCTTCGACTTCACTTCCTTGTATTATGTGTGTGTGTGTGTCTGTAAATGTATTTCGAGCAAGTGTGTGTGTGTGTGTGTGCGTGCCATTTGCGTGCGTATTTTTGGTGTGCTTTGCGGTTTGTCGTTCAGCCGAATCGGTAAAAAGTTACCCAGCCAAACAAGTCGAACAGGAGTATATGCCCGAATAGTTCGGAACCTTTTCAGAAATTCTTCTTTAGGGAATTACCTTTAGACATACCTTAGAATGTAAGAAACATACAGTCCGAGGTGCAAGAATTGGTTTGGATAGTTTAGGGGGCTTTGTAAATTACAATTACTTTCCCTGAGACACCATGTACATTATATCTCAAATTTAAAGTTAATTCTTAAGCCCTTATTACAGGTTAAAAAGTAATACTTTCCGTAATGGTATTGGTTAGGGTTCATATTAATGCACGTGCTTTAGAAGTGCTAACTTTAAGCTTTTTAATAGGAACCATTAATATTTAACTCTCCAATTGTTTCCTACGAAACCCATAAAGATATTTGTTTAAATGCCATCCTTCGAAAAGGGTATGTATCAGCATAAAGGAGGCCAGTAAGAAAAAACAGGGCACATTTGTAACGCGCTGTCTAACCGGTACAAAATGTGCGTGTGGCAAGCCAAGAAAGGGAGGGGAATCGCTGTTGGAAAGAGAGGGGTGGATGCGAATGGCTGCAGACAGCAGCAGTTCGCAGTGGTTCCTCCTTGTGCCTTCGCTTTTTTGCCGAAATTCTGTTGTCATCATCACTTTAAGAGAGCTGGTGTTAAGGTGGCATTGTGGGTGGGCGAAGGCTGTTGGTTGGTGGGTGGTGGATGGTGGGTAGGTGGTTGCAGGAAGGCAGAGCAACCGACGCCTGTCAGACACAAAGTTATCTTCGCCTCGACTTGGCAGCCCCGTTGTTGTTGTCATCTTCCGTTTTTAATTTCATCTGCCATTTACTGCTACTTATGACACATCCTTTTGCCAGCCCACCTCGAACCACACACACACACACACACACACACACACACACCGAAAACCACGAAACCGGCTGACAATTTTTGGGGCTGCTTTTCCTGGTTTGCTGATGTTACTTTTTTCCTCTGCACTTTTATACCCTTTTAGAGAGTTCTTTTGTTGGGCCATAAACGGACTCAAAGCACTGGGCTGTTGCATTGTATTTTACGAACGAAAGTCACAATTATTTGCTAAGTGTTATGTCGAGGCAACTTCAGAAAAATTAGCCAGCTGTTGCCCAACCAGAAACTACTAGTGGTTTAATGGGCATTCTACTCTTACGTGTTATACAGCACATTAAAAGTCTTGCTTAAAACCAAAAAAATAGTATAAAAGTAAGTTTTGAACCAGTTTTAAAATGAAAAAAGCGATAAGTATTAACATATTTGGTCTTCCTAGATAGCCTTCCCCATTTAGAGTATATAATTTTGGGTGGCTTATTGCTTGTTCAATATACATCAACTTTTTGGTGTTTTTTTATGGAACTTACCTTGGGATGTGCACGGCGCGGAAAAGCTACTTTCGGATCGACCTGCGTGGAAAATGGAGAAAAACAGAAAAAAACATAGAGTGAGTCCGGGAAGTTCCGAAGGAAATCGTATGCTTAATGACATTTAAATGAAAAGAACATTGCGCACAACTCTTCATATTAATAGCCGCGCATAAATCTTGCATAAGCCTGCACTGCACATTAAATGAAATTGCCCCAGGGGGAGTGGTGCTGGAAGGGGGTGGGAGTGCGGGTGGTGCTGGTGGTGCGGGTGGCGACATGGGTGGTGTCTGCTGGTGACTTCAAGCTGAGCACGCACGAATTAACGCGTAACAAATTGGTCGGCCAGCGGGCGTAAGGAGAAAAAACGAGCAGCTTCTATCCAATAAGCAGCGTCATTAAAAATAATTAAAAATCATAAAAATTCAATTTTAAGCATTTCTGCCTCCTGTCTATCCTTCGGCGTTCAGCCACAGCTCGTCCTGATTTTGCCGCTCGGTCGTCCGAGCTGTGGCTTTCATATTAGTGCAAGGACACACAGCTCGACTTGACAGCTGAAATAAAAAATCAGGGAGCGAGGGTGGCACTAAATCCTGGCATCTGAAGTGCTGCTGTTGCATTTATCCGGGTATCTCAAGCCAATGAAGGAGCCGCAGCAAGGAAGCAACGCAATATCCTCTGGCAATGGCAATTCGCACATAGTACATATTGTACGTTTGTATGCGGAAAATCTGTCACAGGATAGGCAGGACATGCGGCTGTTCTTGTTGCTGCTGCTGTGTTTGCCGTTTGCCGTGTTGATTTCCTGTGTGCAGGACGAAAAACAAGAGCAGCCGCATGGCGGGAAATTGATTTTTAGATTAAAATTAAAACTAATCAGCGCTGAGTGGCGAACGGTTTGGTTTCGGAGGATGGCGATGCTTTTGCCTTTTTGAAATACATCAGGCCGAAAAACCGTAACGAAATGAAATGAATTCGTTTCGTTTCGTTTCGTTTTGCGTCGCTGTGCAGCCAAACGGAAACACGAAAATCCCTGACCGGCCGAAAGTCAGGAAGACGTGTATATGGTGGCTATATAGATATAAACATTACACGATTCACTCGCACATAGATGCAGTTCCAGTTGCGAAACAAACAAAACGCTGGCCGCGGCTCAAAAAAAATTCCACATAAATGCTGGCTGTGCATTTTATTTACAGTTGGCAGGCATAAAAGGATGATCGGATGGACATCGGACTGAAGGACTAGCTGAAAACAGCGCAGATCCACTCAATTAGGCTAATGCCAATGCGGCGTATGCGTAATGCGTGCGGAATATCATTACAGCGGGCCTTCACTGTGCTCGGCTCCGGCCAATCAAATGCGATTTCCACCTATACAAAATGCGGAAGGAAGCCACTTTCGGAAATGTATTTATGCAGAGCAATGAACAGCGTTTGCCGAAGCTGATTAATTAAATGGATAAAATAGGATGCCACCGGAGATGCGGACCCAAAGCTCGAAACTCGGAGACCAGAGCCCGGAGCCCGGAACTAGGAGCCCGTTGCTCCGATCCCGTTGCCTGGAGCTCAAATCCTGGAGCCAGCAATTTACTCTGCCTTTCAGGTGATGTCTCTAGCTTTTGAGCCATCCGTGTTAATACATTTATGATTGGGATAGGACAATTGCAGGTTTAATTTGTGTTGGGTTTGCCAGGGTGGAGTTAATTGACATGCGTAACGCAGGTGGGTTGAGTTTTGAAGAGGAACCTATTTTTATTGCGGTGTTGTATCGGCACTTCGGATTGCTGAGTTTAGATGGGTTTCTAGTTAGGATGTGTGTTTAAAGTCGTCAACAATCAATGTTGGACACTATAGGGGATTTAAATACGTGGATATGGAAATCTAGGCAAGGAAAGGTGTTTTAATATTCCTAGGGGGTATGTTCTTAATTTGGCTCTGCCAGAGTTTCAGATACATCTCTTTGTAAGCTGCTTAAATTTTGGAGTTTAAAGCAAAGAAGAAGGAAGATTCCTTCGCCCATTCTAATGGTCGCACTTTTGAAAGATGTTTTGATTTGTTTAATATTCTATCGATAAGGCAAAAAATAAGTTAATTTCAGTCTTGTATTTAGGAAGTCCTGTAAAATTTTCTCTGCGCACTCTGCGTTCCATCTGGTTTAAACTCCGTTTTCAAATATTTACTGGAAAATGGCACACCGGTGCTTTGTTGAATGTAGCAAAAAGGGAGAAATCATCAAGAGCGCACCTGGAAAAAATTAACCATTGCAGCTCATTTGATGTTCATCGCGCCTGTCATATCAGCTAATTAAAAATTGTTTGGCGTTTGGGCCATGATTTTTTGAAAACTTTCATATGCCTTTTTTGCCTATACTGTTATGCTTTGACTTTCTAATTGCTGTCAATAGAGGGTATGGGGAAATATTGGGGCTATGGGCATGGGAACGATGCTTTTGAGCAAATATTTAACATAGTTAAAGTGGAGTTCTCTGTTTGGGTGAGTGAAAATGAGTGAAAAGGAAAAAAGGGCGAAAAAAGCGAAAAGCGAAGAGTTCGTGTGTAACATTTACCTTTTTGCCATCCAGCTCGTGTGTGCCTTGGGTGAGTACCTTATCTACGCTATTTGGATCGCTGAATGTGACAAAGCCGAAGCCTCTGCAAGTAGATTTGGAAGGAGATGTAAACAGGAGACGGTTAGCGAGAAGTTCTGCAAATATTTACCCAAGCCAGGAGCCAAGTAACTGAACCTGAACCTGAATCAGCCCGAGCCCGAGCCCGAGTCCCAGAATCAGAAAAACAGAAAGCGATAGGGAAAGAGAAACGGGAGCCTCGCCCAGGCCAAAGTTGAACCTGCCATCGTCAGTTTAGCACGTGCGCCAATTAGGCGCTCAAATTACATCAAAATATTGCCAGGAAAGAGTGGCTGAGGCTGAGGGGGCCAAATGAGCAGTCTAAGGCCCAAGCCCCAATGCGCCATCCACAAATGCCCCCTTTTCGAACTGTTCGAAGGCAGACGCTTACAAGCCATTACGTAAGCAGCGCCGTCTCGTTCCACGGTCGCAAGCCCCGTCTCTTTCTGTTTCTTTCGTCCGTGTTGTGATAAACTTATTCTTGTTAAATATTTAATTAAAATGCTTATTATCTCGCACTGCATTTTAATGAGTCTCCCATGCCAGGGCAACGAAACGAGACAGCCAAAGACAACAAACCAGCTCAGAGATTTTGGGCTGTGGTGGCCCCCCATCCGCCGCCCCCCTTCAATCCGCTCCCTGCAACCCCCTGCAACCCCCTTGCAGCCACGCCTGTGTGCACGTTTATGTTTATTTGAGTTTTGCCACTTGGCAGCAACGCTTAACGACGCTTCGTCTCCTCGCTGCGAAACACAACTTCTTTCAGCCCGGCCCAGACACATGCTCGTATTTGTCTTGCTCTTTTAAGCCCTCCACTGCTGGCACCACCCATCCGCCGTAAGCCACCCAATCTGCACCACCACCCCACTCAATCCGAGCCCAACTAGAACCGCAAGCACAGACAGTAATTAACGACGATTTTATTGCAATTGTGGCAATTGTTACGGTCCTGATTCCCCTCAGTGTGGCCCACAAACCAGGCGCACCAGTCGGCCCAGTTAACATTGCCAGGTCCAAATGGTCAGCTGGCGGGGGATTAGAGCTAAGCAACCCATTTGGCATACAAAAATGCTTCGAATTCAGGAGTGTCATGGTCAATATGGAAATGCTTAGTGCAGGAATGATTGTAAATGTGATTGACTTGAGAGTTCATTAAAAAGTAATCTAGTTTTCAGGAAAGCAACCATTAATAATAGGAGCTTTGAAGAGTTTCAACCAAAAAATGGTATTAAATATTTAAGCAAACTTTTCTTAGAAATTTAAGACTAGTTGCAATAACAATGTTAGTTATATAATATTTATTTTCATGGCTTGTATCCTAGCTCAGTGTGCGAAAATTGCAGACTAAAACTGTCTGACTTTTATATAATAAGTGGCATTTTAATGGGCTTGTGTCGGAACAGTTTTATTTTATATTCTACCCTGACCTTGCGATAAATCATAGAAACTAAATATACGGTATTTATAATAATTTACTAGCTGAAAGCTACGTTCTGTCTATACTGGCGTAATAATTACGGAGCAATTAATGTGTACAGCTGCTTTCATACTAAAGCGAGCTACTAGTTTAGCTGATTGCAAGTGTTTTTAATGGGAAATAAATCCTGTGCAAAATATATAAAATGAAAAGTGTCTTCTCTGAGCCTTTTGTGAAATTTAATCATTATGGCATGCAAGCGAATTAAAGGCAAAATGTTAAATGTTATTCATTAAGATTTTAAGACAGCAATGTGGAATAATGCTTGCGTGTCCTAGAACACCCAGTAATTTTCATTCCCCTCCCACAATTAGAGCTCCATTCGTATAGCTGGGTTAAGCCCATCTCAACCCTTTTTGATCCACTTTTGACATACAGTTTTATTGTTTGCGTTTTTCCATACAATTTACTTGTCAGTTAAATCATTTGTAATTGAAAGTTAAACAGATAATGCGGACATGTAATTGTTTCATTGAAATTTTATTGCTTACTGGAGGGCAATTATTCATAAGCAAGGATTAAAACTGAGGTTGCGTGCACTAAATTTAATTCGGAAAGTATCCTCTGTGGGGATCACCCCACAATTCATAATCCTTACAAAATGTTTGCTGCTTTCCATTTGACATTCTTTCGGGCACATCGCATCGGTGTTTTGCCATAGAAATTGCTATTCAACAACGATGCCAACAAACAATGGCTTGTTGCAAATTTATAAAAACAATTTGCATATGGAAAAGGATTGCCCGGCCTGTTTTGTCTTTGATTTTCCCCACCTTCCCACTTCCCACTTCCCCCTTTCCACTTCCCGCCTCCACCCAACTCCCCATCTACGTGCCATGGATAAGTCATTATTTGTGTGCTTGTTGTCCTGGTTGGTATTGGCTTTCTGGATTCTCGTACAGCTGGCACGGTCTGGTACATATTAAATAAACATTTTATCGTATTTATAGACGAACAATTTGTGCAATGTGCAATTTGCGAAAAAGAGGCCTGCACCTATTAATATTGATTTAAATGGGCGATTTGGGGGTGGAATGAATGGGTGGCGGAGTGACTCGGTAGGCGTAACTTCAATCCAATGTTCAAGTGGGTCACACAAAATTGCAGAACAAAAGCAGGAGAAGGCCGAGTGCCACAAAGTTGAGGACAGAGATTGTTGCAATTTCTGGGGTGACGACACGGGCGGTGGCGCTGGGGGGGCGGGGCTCAAAGTGAAAAGCCACAAATTTAAAAGGCAAAACTCAAAAATAATGTGTCTCCTGTGTGCAATTTACTCACAAATTCAGATTCAATTTATGCAACTCGAGGCAGAGCGGCATCCGCACGAGAGACAGAGTCGGGTATAGCCTCAGAGCGGGACAGAAACAGAGCCAGAATGGTGGAGCGCTCAGGATAACAACAGAATGTGTGCAGGCAACAACAATGGCGAACACACACACACAAATGCACAGCGAAAAAAATGAGTCCATAACTGGCATTTGAAGTAAACTAGTTTTATGCTAAAAGGGGTTTTAGAAATTAATTTTTGGAAGGTCATGCTGGAATAAACTAATAGAAATAGATTTCTGAAAATTACAAAACAAAGAGGGAAGTGTTTTTTAGTTTTTTCGATCAATTTCTGGGATTGTTTATTAATGGTTTATTATTGCTTAAATAGTCCTGAATTTGTGCCGTGTGTGAACTTAGACAATGAAGGAGAAACTAGGCAACAACAAGGGCAAAAGCAGAGACATGCAGCCTCCGACAAGAAAATAGGGTTTTGTGGCGGGGTTGCCGGTTGGGCGGTGGGCGGTGGGTGGTGTGTGGTGGTTGGTTGCTGGGGGGTTGGCTGTATTGCGCCGCCAGCCCCTCACACACCCACCCATCCCCGCCTAGAGAACATGCAACTTGGGTTGCTTGTTGAATTTTATAAAGCCGTTTCAGAATGCTAATGAGCGCACGCACACAAGCTGCCGGCAGCCAAGGATGATGCTGTGCGATGCTAGCCCGGAAAAAAAGGGCGGGAGGCCAGGTGCGACAGGTGAGCCCACGGAGAAGGGGGCGTGGCAATCATGTAACACATACAAACACCGCAGACACGTACCAAACAGGGCCAAAAGGAGCGGGGCAGGCGAGAGCAAAATAAAAGTGTTATTTGAATTGGCATGGCAGAGCTTGAGAAACTTTGTCGAAGATCCTTGTTGCTGCTGCTCCTGAGCTTACGCACAATTTAGCAAAACAACTTGCATGTATTTAGTCCGTAGATACTCATACCTGTGCAAGAATGTGGATAGTTTACCCGAAGGAGGGGCGGCAGGGAAATAAAGGAGCCATCCTGGCCAACTCAGAGTGTCTGCAGTTAAGTTGGCGGTTGGCTTGTGGCTGGCGTCTTGGATTACCGTAAATAATCTAACTAAATGAGTTACCAAAACGGTCAAAGTTCACATCAAGGTGTTGTCTCGCACATGTGTGTGTGTGTGTGTGTGTGTGTGCAGCTGGGTGTGCGTGTCTTTGTAATGGGAGCAGATAACCATATTAGAAGTCCTAGCATATGTCCAGTGATCAGGTGCAGGGCGATGATGAGGATATTCCGCCCCAGGCAATTGCCAAAACTGTAACCGAAAGCTCATTTAAAGGCAAATGACGGCTGAAGGGTTGGATTTCGGTGTGGACAGGGTAAATGGAATTCGGGATATCCAGGCCAAAGATTAGATGAAATTGAGTAAGGTTCAAGTGCACTAAATGGAAATATTTCTCAAAGGGATTATGGGTTTTTCACACACGGCCCGAAACCTATTTAAATAAATATTCAAAAAATAAAATATAAAGTGCAATCGATTTCACCAAGCTTAAAGGCAGATACAGCCATATCAAATTCTTATCTTACCTAAATTTATATTTTTGAAAAATATCAATATTTTACTTAAACAATGGCTCTGAAACACGATTCATACAAAAGCATACAAATACTGTAATTTAATATTGATCAATAAGAAAAAAACAATTCAGCTGTTTCCCTCCTATTCAATTGACGTCCAATTTGCGTGATTTTGTGCGGCGTGCAGTACTTAGTATGCACGGTAAATGGAACCTGCAGGATATGGAAATCCTGTGACCCCAGCACAGGCAAACCCATTTTCTTATATCTCTTAATTGCCTCAACCTGAACTGACCTCAGTGCCAGACAGAATGACAAACTACTGTGAATTGCTCTTGAAGTCAGCGGAAGTAAGAAAACAATTGTCTCTGTGTCTCCGGCATCCCCCACCGCATTCCGCCCCCTGTTGGACCCGCCCATGCTGCCACCCCCAGCCCAGTTAGCCCCGCCCACGCTCTGCGGTTCAGTTTTCCTTCGGTATTGTTAATATACAAGTTGCAGTCAAGGCTGGTAATGGAGGCGAGCATTATTTTGTCTATGCGCTGCTAAAAAGCCAAGAAGCCGCAAGCCATGCCCTCAACCTTAATGCTGCAAAGGGGCAGTGGGGTGGGGGGCTCAGCGAAAGTAGCTGACGGCTAACAAAACTTTCAATCCGAGGAGGTAGGCAACGCATATTCAAATGACTTTTTCG